TTTTTTTTCTTCGTTATTTGTCAAATAAAAGAAAATATTTATTTATTAAATGAAAAGTAAAGAAATAAAACAATTCTATGAATATAAAGCAATACTATGGCTACCAAATAGTATTATCATGATAAATTTTTAGGTTTAGAAATAATATCGTTGGCTTCATTGATATAACTCTAGTAATAAGAGTCAAATTATCAAGTTATTATGCTCGTAGCTAAAAGATTAATAGAATTAAAATTATAGAACTTAAGAGATCGTAATCAATCAAAATAACATATATTGAATTATTTAATCATTTTTGAAGGATTTACAAGGAAGATAATTGTAATTTGTGCTTGTTTTCCATTATTTCTGATTTCTATAAGGAATAGAAATAAAATAATAATGAAAACACGCGATCTATCTTCTTTTAACATCTAATCAATTCTATATAAATAGAGTCTCGTTAGTTTTCATAATTATATGTTTCTGAATCATAGAATAATATGATGTACTATTTCCTTTTTATTTTTCAAATATATAATACTCAATTAACATTGATTATTACATCAACTTTACGATACTATATTTATATCTTTCTGTTTTACATAGTTTAAAATTATAGGGACCAATACACCGAGTTTATTTATGTATTACTTTCAAATAAGTATAACGATATGAGGAAAAGAATATATATCACGCATGAATACAGTAGAATAGCACAACAGAAAATGATATTAAAAATGTTTATATAATATTTGATAACATCAGTTAATTAATATATGTTTTAATGATAGAAAAACAATTCCAAAAAATGTAAAAGGTATAATAATCCATTGCTGTTGAATATGATTAGCAGCTGAAGTATGAGAACTATTACTACTCATTGATGTTGTGTCGAAAGATGAAGCAGTTGTATCCGTATCGTTGGACGACTGTGCATTAGCAGTGATTAATAACATACAGACGATTCCAATAACGATTATAATAAAATTTGATATATGATCCATTTGATTGAAGTAAATGTTCAATAGTTGAAGATACTTTTGTCGTTTGAAATGAAGACAAAGACAAACTTAGTTGAATCAATATATATATATACTGTTCTTTCTCAGTTTTTTTTCTTTTTGATTGGAAAATTTAATATAAAGAATAGAATGCACAAGTTGCCGGAATTTTCTTTAATAAATAACTTCCTGTTTTGATTTGTTGAGATGCCTTGTTTTCTTTTCTTTTCATAAGAAAATACTGTAAATTTATTCAAGATTTATTTCAAAAGCAATTGAGATAGAATTTAATCTATTGTTTCTCGTTTATTTCACGGAACGGTGATAGTCTCGGAAAATCAAATATTGAACAACGCCCGTATAGTTTGCAATCATATTATTTTCTTTTGTCATGATAACTAAGAAAACATTACATCAATAGAAAAACAAAGTCTAGTGTATCTAACAGAAAAAAGTGGAACAAATCATCTTGAGAAGTGAATATTACATAATAATTGATACTGAATTATTACGACTGAGGGGATTTTTATAAGACGAACCAAATTGAAGTGTCTATGATATTCTATTGTAGTGTATTATATCAAAAACAAAATTTTCCGCCTACTGAGGTTTCATTATTTATTTAGAATATAAATTATAAAGCAGTTCAATTAAATTTAGTTTTACAGACATATAATTAAAGCACGTTCGATATTAAATCATTTTTTGAATAATATAAACGAATGTACAATCGATCAATGAATACAATTTCGATGATGATATAATTTAAAACTGTTTTTTTAACATATGCCAATTATTTATGAGCGTGAAGATGATTCTTTTTCTATACATCGATCTCAATAAATATTTACGTCATATCATTTAGATGAAATATTGTAAATGCAATCTTAATCGTAATTGACAGTAATCATAATATAATTATTGACAAAATTCAAATTTTTATCCTTGCATATTTCTTTATAGAACAGTTTCAGATAGAGAATAATTATACATTTGCTTATTATTAACAGATAAGTTTAATTTTTGCTTTATTATCTAGATGCTCTTGTTTCGAATGTTTAATATTATCTTCAATAATTTCCGGGAAAAAGTTATCAAACGGACATGTAGAAGAAATACAATTTCTGATGCTCACTGGATCTATATATGATTAGTGACGTAACCAGAAGTGGACTTGGTCGGGTACCGGAAGAAAAAAAAAGTAGTAATTACCCTCATTTACACCATTTTTTCCAAGGATCATAGGGCATTGCGCTTGGGCACCCGCGATTTTCTGATTACGCTACTATCTGCAATTTATCAATGTCAAAACTATTTACACACTATTTATTGCACCCTACATCAAACAATTGAGATAGTATATATATATATATATACATTGTTAAATATGTTTAATTTCCCCACTTTCATAGACTGTAATATATTAATAGAGTATTTGAAGTAGCACTACTATTGATTGTATATGATAAAACAAAGAGAGAGAAATGATTTTATTATAACATTAATTAAGCTAAAAGATCTTGCGTAAAATCTATTCGCATATAAATCCATGTTGAAGTACATTCCAATAATTGAATAGAAGCTTTTGATTGACTACATTCTGAAAGTGACTTTTCAAGAATTAACTGCAATATGAAAACTTCTTCTCGCGTCACCTATTAACTAAATGAGAACTATTTTTATCTCTCTTTTTCCTATATTATCAATAAAAATTTCATAAATTAATGTATATTACAATCCAGTATGAAATTGTTTATTCTTTTTTTGTTTTCGATAAACTTTTAAAAGACATATGAAAATAAATACAAATAAAAAACAACAGATAATTATTGGAATGATCATAAATGGCCAATTGAATATTTTCTGTTTCGAAGCTACTAAAATAAAGTAAATTATAGAAGAAGAAAATATTTTATAAAAAAATTTACTCGATGGACATTGATTAATTGCTTCTAAACTACTCTTCTGACTATTATCACCACAATAATCTTCGTGAAGACATATTAATGATCTATCAATACATCGTCTATTATTACAATGAAATTGACTTGAATTTAAACATTTTCCATCTATTGATAAATCATATGTAACAAATTTTAATTTAAAACCATATGATTGACTTTTTGTTTGCCAATCAAGTGTAAATATTGAACTTTTAAGAATTAATGGTGTTCGATCAAAACGTTTGTCAGTATCTTTACCACATATAATACGTAAAATCGAACCATTTTTATAACCCTAAAAAAGTAAGAAGTTTAATTTTTTTAACATTAAATAGTTTATATACATACATCAATTATTTGTAAACGATCATCATTTCCTGCATATTTAGCTTCCGTACATCTTGGAAATGATGAACTTGAATTTGATTGAAAATATTCTATTGACATCCATATACGTTTGTTCGTTTGTATTGTCAATGAACAATGACTATCAGAAAAATACATATATCTCTCCTAGAAAAAGAAAATATTATTATTTTTTTTTGGTAGTTTTATTTTTTACATGATAATAAATATGAGAATAGATTTTCCATGTCGAAATATTTTTAAGATTGATTATGCCATGATTACATAATGTTTGATTATCCATAAATACTAAGAGAAAAAAAAACCGAAATTAAATTATCGATAAAACAAAAAATATTTATAATTAAATTCTTACAATGAAATTCATTTTCATTTGTATTTACATATTTTACATTTATATGAAGTATGAATAAAGTATAGAAATAAAACCACATGATTACCATTGACACTAAACAAGTTGACCGAAATTTTCTTTTTCTTGTTCAATTGTATTAAACAAGCAATAGACGTAAAGAGGAAGAAAAAGAAAATAGTGACCCCCCAATGGCGATTATTTCAAGTTCATGCCATCGGCTTCATTTGCATATATATATATATATATATATGTGAGTGTATACGTTATTGAATTACTGACCAACTGTCGAGCTTTCATCTTTATGAAAAAAGTCAAACAAGTGAATTATCTATGCTTAGTTTCAAACAGCATGCCACCGGATATCTCGGGTTGATGTATGATAGAACTACGTAATCGGATGATGATTACTTGCTAAGTTCCGCTGAGAGTCTGATGAGAAAAAATAGCTCATTTAATCAAATGTTCGACATCTCCACATGATATCGTATACTTTCTTAATCAAAAAAAAAAATATACATACACGGAAAGAATAAAAGTTTAATAGAATATTCAAGTTTTACCCTTGGGTATGGCGTATTGTTATTATCATTCGATTATTAATAGTCTTTCGGTGTTGTTTCTCATGTTAGATTATATAATCTTATGTGTGCAATTATATGAAATGAAATATTCATCAATTAATACATAGCAAAAGATATCTAGTCTTCTTTTTTAAGTGAACAATATAGGCACATATAATTATAAGATTTTGAGTGCCTCTCCTTTGCTCTTTATTGTTAAAGGAAATCAAGCATGTATGATATAATGATTGCAAGCACTTTGTTCGCCGTGCGGAGCAATAATGAACTGTCAGGCTGGTTTGTCATTCATTCTAATTGTACGTTATGTACAGCGTATTTAGACAATTATTCTTTGGCGTGTCCAACATGGCGAAAGAAAAAAAAGGCGTAGAATTATATTAATCGACATTATGCATGTCGAGATTTCTTAATCTTTGTTGCGACTTGTTATACAAAATAATCCTTTTCTTCGTTTTTCCCCCTCTTTTATATCGTATTAGAGATGAAGAGAAGTAAAAAAAAAGGTAAGAATATTGATTTTATAATGAAACTGATTAAAATACAATAATGGACCTTGTATATATGCCTATCGGATAGAGAAAGAAAATGATATATATATATATATACAAACACATTTATTCATAAAAACACTTTGAAAAGATTTGTTATTTGTATAGTACCAATGTATTCTTTAAGGAATAAAACAAACTATCGTTCAAGCACGTGTATTTATTATCTTTATATATATATATGATAAAGAACAATAATTGATCGTATGATCTATTCTTGATATTTTAGAAATATTCAATACATCTGTAAACATATAATGTGTCGAGTTTCTCTTCTCATTTTCCCTCTTTTTTTCTTCTCTTGTTCTTTTTGTTCTCTATTATTATTACATCATTATAGAAGTTACAAGAGAAATTGTCTGGCATTGGGTAATCAGAATTAGTAAAATAGTAGTATTCGCACGTCTTCGGAGATCTCAAGAAATAGTAACCTTGGTTAGTCGAAGCTTAATCGATATACATAAAAAATGATATGACACATTCTAAGGTTCTTGAGAAGTTTTATGTATGTTTCTCTCATTTTTTTTTGCTTAATATATGACTGTACATATATATAATCTATTTATATCTAGACAAAAGAACAAGCAAATTCATATTTGTATATTGTTCATATTCGGATTCTATGCACTTTCTCTTTTTTTCATATTCTCAAGTAATAGAATAACTAAATCAAAAAATCTCTACTCACATATAGATGAGATGTTTGCATTGACATTGCTTGTAAAGAAAGTGTTTATATGTAGCACTTCGAATACGTAGACATACAAAACGTTCAAGTTCTTCTTTTTTTTCTTTTCTTTATATTTATCTCGTTGCATCATACATCTCATCGATGCCAGACAAGCAGCTTTCTTTTTCTTGTCATTATTTTTCTTCTCCTCTTTGTCGCCTTCATTTCTTCTCTTGCACTCTTCATATTAAATAAATGTCGTCACAAAGTAAAAAAGTAAGTAAATGAGCTTTTAATATATATTTGACCATAGGTCAGCACAAGTATGACGAACGATTCAAACACTTATAAACGGGTGCATACAAGATGAGGGAAAGGAAGAAACATATTGCACTAGCAGTACAGTACCTAGCAGAAGACGAAAGGAAAAAAAATTCTTCCACTTCGTCTACCGTCGAACACTCAACATACCGTACATATAATTCATCATTAATACATCTATAGAGAGAGAGAGAGAGAGGGAAAGATAGACACGACAGACACAATCATTCAATCAGCTGGAAATACTATAATATACGTATGTTATTCAAAGAACAACAAAAATAATCTATAGAGATCTTTTATCTTTTAGAGATTTTCTAATAGATTATTATTATTATTATTACTATTTTTATTTTCTAGAATGTCAATTAATAATATCAAACATCTATGGAAAAAATCTTTTCATTTACATCATATGAATGATTGTGATGATTTAAACTTTTATTATAAAAAATTTTTAAATAAACTAAGTAAAATATGTTTAAAAATATTTCTTCCATTATTATTATTAATCAATATTTTTACTTTATTATTTTGTCGTTTATTCTTATCGAATCATATATTTGATATACATATAAAAATCTATTTAATATTAATTGTTTTTACATGCATTTTATTATTATTTATACGTGTACATTCAAAAAGAAAAAAAATTTGGATATTTACACGTTTTTTAATCATTTTTCTTTTAATTATTCCATTAATATTAACTTACCAAACAGAACAATTTCATATATTACTATCATCAATATCTATTATACTTCTCTATTCATTATTAACATTTACATTACTTCAATCATTATTAATTTCTTTAAGTATATCAATTTTACATCTTATTCTTATATTAAATTTAAAAACAAATCCAATTCAATGGAAATCTTTGGAATTTTTTACAATAATTTTTTATCATTTAATTATTAATCTAACCGGTCTATATTCCTATATTAGTTCAATACAACATATACGTGAACATTTCTATGCTTATAAAACAAATCTATTTGAAAAAAATAAATATAATTTAGATTGTAAAAAATTACATACAATTATTGGATATTGTCAAAAATCACCAACTATTTTAAATACAAAGTAAATATAAATATATATATATATATCTATTGATCTCATATAAAACTGTCTATAAGTTTAGATTAATAATTACTGTTGAAGAGCAGTATATCGTAATGATGTCATTTTTTTCTATTATATCATAGTTAGACATATCACAGCAGGCTGACCTTTTTCACTCGGATGAAATCAATTAGAATTGAGTTTCTTTTTTTGCATTCATATGAATATATTATTTCGTTAAAAACTTTCTCTTTATAATTGAATGTTTTTTTGTAAAGTATTTATATAATCAAATATTTCAGATAGAGAAAATTTGGAAAATATTTATATATCCTTATTTTTTGTAATGATTAGTATGTCATCTCAATTGAGAAATACGACGATCGTTAATGATCTGTATTTCATGGTAAACTACCGCTTATGTTTTTCCTAGGCAGCTCCTATAGAATAAGCTCGTATTTCACACTAAATTTGCCATTAAGTGATAGCGAAGAAGAATGTAAATAAACAATATTCTAGGCATCTGCTGTCACTCAAAGAACGTTTTGTTTGATTACAATTGGCTGAATAATTATACTAGAATCTTAACAGCCGAAATAAATTAAATATATACAAATAAAAAAAGAGAAATGATAATTTAACGAGAAGTAAACTGAAATCGATTAGAAAAAAAACGTAATTATATGTCAATACATTAAGGCCTACTGTAAGAAATCAACTTTGATCTGGTGATTTATCATACATCAAATAGAGCGAAAAATGCACTATTTTCTATAGTCAGTTTTAGAGATTTTAGGAAAGTTTTTTTAAAACTTGCATCCAGAAAATAATGCTTTTCGTCAGCAGACAATTTTTGTTATATGCCTTTGTATACATACACTCAATATGTTCTAACAAATGATTCAAAAGTTTCTCTAATGTCAACTAGGGAGTTCATATTGGTCCCAAAATGTATTCATCTTCTCCGAAATAGAAATTAGAATATGGAGCGGAGAACTTTAATTTAATCTGTAAAATTTAACTTCCCAAACTATACTTTTCTTTTTATCTCTAGTTGTCTATCAAAGTTTGGTACAGTTATTAATTGTTCTATATCATTAAATGAACAAACACGTATTCATACATGCGATGAATTAGCATCATTAATTGATGTTCTCTATTGTCAAATTGAACAGTTAATTTTACAAATTCAACCTGATGCATATTATCTGTTTGATAATGAAACAATTCTTATAAGTTTATTAAATGAAAATAATAATGAACAATTAAATATTGAAAATAGTTGTCATTTAGCAATTGAATTATATCGTTTTATTCAACATGTCAACAATATAACACAATGGAATTTAACATTAATTATTGGTATTGATTATAATCAAATAAATATACTTTCGTCAAGATATATTGAAGGTTTAGCATATGATTATTCACGATGGTTACGTGATGAATGTGTTGTTAAAGATCGTATACATGTATCAAATAAAATCTATGAAGTTTTAAAAGAAAATTCATTATACAAATTTTCTGTTATAACCAATAATTTAACCTATTTACTTTTTCATACAAATATGTATGAATCATTTAATAATGGTTTAATATTAGTAAATACATCAAATATGATTGATCAATTAACACGTATACAAGCTGAATATTATGTTGAAAAACATTTAGGTACAATAACATTATCACGTACATTACGAAAACGTAGTTTATTTGAATTAACATCCGAATATATACATTGGTTTAATTTAAATTTTCGAGAAAAATATTTAACAAAAGATTTTCAAACAATACACCGTACAAATCGTCCAAAAAATTTTATTTATATTTTTATATTATTAATATTAATTGGATCATTATTACAATCATTGATAATAAATCATTTAAATTTTTATTATTTAATATTATTTCCGTCAATTATTATTGGATTAATTATATTAATAATCATTTTTTATTATTTAATACGTACGGAAAATTCGGATATAAATAGAAAATTTTATGTTTATTTAAATATTCTTATTTGTTTAACATTAACAACATTAATTTTTGTCGCAATACAATATCATTCAATACAAAATTTTAAATATTTATTTATATCAAATAATCCAATGAATATAACAATATTATCAGCAACATTGGATAATACAACATCAACAGAAATTAAACCAATAAACAGGTTAGATAATTGATAAATATTGAAGTTTTTTTATAGATCAGTAATTTTTCTATTCAATTTCATAATTATGTTAAACAAAACAAAGCTAATATTATTTTATTAGTAATACGAAGATAAAAATCATTTGTAGAATCGCTCATTATGTGGATGATTGAGTACAGTACATTTAGTTGATCCATATCGAACCGAAAATATTCTCTATTATGGTTTTTAAAGAATAATTGATAATATAATTACGCATTTTTTTCTTGTATCTTCTTATAAAATGAACACTTAGAAAGACATTCGATTTACAATGTTTGCATATAAGAAATCCTGTAAGTGTAAAAGTGTAATACATAGATAACATACATTAACAATATTTTTTTAAATCTAAAAGATTTTTATTAATTAGAATAAACGGGAATAAAATATCCCAAACTCATAAGTGCTACTGGACCTTCCTAATAGAGTTATAGTTGTTTGACTAGAATTATAGTCTTTAGTACGAAATGTGTATAAAAACGAAATGACGTCATTTAGATTGGAAAGTTTACTCAAAGATAGATCTGTTCGTAACTAGAATGTTTCTTTCACGAAATATCGAATTTCCAATAATCACTCATACACGATGAAGAAAGCATGAAGGTTAAACTTTTATTAAAACAACTATAATTCTCCTAGGAAGGTCTAGTAGCACTTATGTGTTTGTAATTTTTTATCCTTCATTGAATTCTACTTTTTGTATAAAGTTCGACCTCAAAGGCACTTTGACAATTATGAATCATTTCTCGTTGATTATTAATCTGTTGTTGTTATTTACTCGTTCAGTCAATTGACGTGATGGACATAGGTTTTCTGGGGCAGAATTCTGCCCATCATCGGTGACTCTTCTGAGAGTACGTTTTCCCTATGCTATAGCTCGCAGACTTCTTCGCGCGGCAAGGTAACGATCCATGAAGAGATTAAAAAGACAATTTTTCTGATTGTACAAGTTATTTTCTATCACTTAAAAACAACTATTCCAGATGTAATATCATGATTGTTGAATCAAATAAAATTCTTAGTCATATTTCGTATATAAAATTTCAAACTATCTTTCCCTTATTTTCTAGTGAACCAATATCATCATTTGATCGTCAATATCATGAATATCTTGTTTTATCACCTATATATCCGCTTTATTTCTGTACTTTATTTCGTCAATGTTCATGGATAATAAAAACATTTTGTATAATTTGTTGTTCATTTTTACAATTATATATATTAGAATATATTTGGTTAACTACAAATACATATTTTCTCTCAATTAATACTTTACATCATTATACAACATTTACATTAATTATATTTCATAATATTCTTTTAATTATTTTATCATATATATATGAATGGTTTGAAAAAATCGATTTTATTTGGCTTAAACAAATTGATAATGAACGTTTAATGATAATTCGACAACGAAATCAACTTATTAAACAAATATCATCAATATTACCATTACGTGTTATTAATTATTATTTAAATACAAATTGGAATTTATCATTAACACAACATTATCATTATAAATATGATCGTATGGGTTTATTATATATTCGTTTTAATTCATCAAATAATAAAGATGAATATTGTCTTATTCATTGTATTAATAATATTGAATATTTATTGAGAACTAATGAAAAATATCTTAATATAGTTATGCATAAAAAATCTACAACAAAAGAACTTATTTTTTCACTTGATTTAAATAATTCTTCCAAATCTATTCAACAATTAGTTGAACTTTTATTTCAAATAGGTGAATATATTAAATCCTATCAAATCAATCTTACGGCTTGTTTACATATTGGTTCTATTCATGAAATTTTAATACATTTTATAAAATATCCATTAATAGATATTTGGAGTGAACATATTTTATTTATTCAATTACTTATTTCAAAAATACAATTAAATCATTGTTTAGTAACATCAACAGTTTATCATTTATTAAATGATTTATATTTATTTCGAACAGCTGGATCAATTATTGACACACAAATAAATATTGAAAATAATACAAATATTTATTTTTTACTTGGGCGTCTTATTGGAGATAATGTCTTTCAAGTAAGATATCGATTCAAATATTCAATGCTGTCACGAACCTGTTAGGATTGAGGGAGGGTAGAGTACTTGGTATCGTGGCAGATGGGCGAAAAGCAATTTAGCAAAATGATTTTTCTTCATGAGGGTATAGAAGAAAAGTGAGGGTGAGAGCGAAAGGTGTTTCCATAGGTCCACAAAGAATAGAAATTATCATGGTTTACTTTTATAGCAATAAACTAGAGAAACCACTACTTCATGGTAGTTCCTCCATCCCTTTGCTCCCTTTAGTCCTGTTAGTCTCAAGGGTGAGGGTGCGGGGGTGTGGCTATTTACATTGCTTCACATCCACAAACTAAAGGAACTTGAAGGACTAAAAAGAGTAAAGGAACTAACGGGTGTAGACCATTCTTTAGTTACACAGCATAAAAGTAAACCATGATAACTTTAATTCTTCGTGAACCCCCTCCCACTATAGTTCAGACCAGAATATCTAACCGAGACAAGATCATCCCAGTTTATGTGACTCATGTAAATATCTATTAGTTTTATAATGAATTTGTTTTAGGGTCGTAATACATTACCATTAATAATAAATCAACCGAATAATGATACAATCCCAAAATCATCAAGTACAGATGAATCTCATTTTTCTCAAAATGATAAAAATTTTTCTATAACAACTACAACTACAACATCATCAGATATTATTAATGATCAACAAAGTCTTCTTAAACAATCTACACGAAAACATGTTCGAATATCGAATCAAAATTCTTTTCAAACATCATATCGTGATACACTTTTGCAAGCATTAAGTCCTCCAACAAATAATACACATCAAATAGGTCCAGTTAAAAAACTTACCAGTTTAATTTATTCAGGCGATAATAATGGTTGGTCATCAAAAGAAGTATCAATTAATGAGAGTAAATCTCTAATGTCTACTACACAAAAAATACGACATGAGCAAACAGGTAAAATTTCTTAAAATATATTTCATTATTCGCATCTCGAATAGAAAAACATCAAATGATTTCAAATCGCTTATGTTCTTAATAATAGTATACGTTTTCTTTTTATTAGAAGATAACAATCTCAGTAAATCAGTGTCCGCATCATCGAATCATCCTATGTCTTCCAAACGAAAAAGTTGTATGAACGATAATATTCAACCATTGGTACATGATCGATCATCAAAAGACGTTACGAATCCATCTCATAGTATATCAACACCAAATGAAGAAACAACTTCATCATTTTCTGGCTGGGATGATCCACCTTCATCATCATTACCAATAAATCATGAAACTAAACAACAAGAATCTATAAAACAATCAATAACGAATTCATCCAATATAGATAATCATTGCCCATCACAACCATATGATATATCGTTCACAGTTAATATGACAACATCAGATATCAAATCTAATATTCCACAGCAACAACAAATATCTTCCTTTCGACCATTATTACCATTTAATTTAGCACATAAATTAATTGCAGAAACATCTGAAAGTGAAATATCTATTCATCATGAACCATGGACACGAAATACAGTTTATCAATCAAAAAATCTTCCACGAACATGTTTTTCATCAAGTTATAATAATTTATCAAAGTAATATTTTTATAAAACAAAATAAACATACATTTATTTATTTATTTATATATTTTTAGTATTCGTTCAAAACAAAGACGACCACCGACATTATGTCATCCCGATTTATTACAACGTTGGCTTGAAGATCAATTAAATCAATTTCGTTCTCATATTAAACAAACACCACCATCATTAACGAAAAAATTTCATCAATATACAACAACGGAAAATGATTCATCAGATAATGAATCCGATACACTACATGAAAATACATTTCCAATATTGAATACAAAATCAAAAAAACGTCCATATAATCATATTCGTTATAAATCTCTACGAAAAAATACACAACTTGTTCGACATGAATCTCTGAATGATAGAAATAGATCAGTTATTAATGAAAATAATCCTCCGAAAAATAAATTTCCAAAACGTACTGATTCATCATCAATACCTGCGTCAGATCAAAGTGATGTATCATCATCTCGACCAGATCATTTATCTGAAGGTGTTTTATCAAATTTTGAATCGGAATATGATAATATGTACACACAAAATTTAAATTCAAATGAAAAAACTAAAATTGTCAATAAATCACAAATTATAACCGATAATGATGATGACGATATTGATAATAATGATAGTGATGATGAAACAACATTAGCAACAACAATAAATCGATGTTACTTTTAATTGTTTATCTTTTTTTGTTTTTTTGAATGTTTTCTTCTTTTTTTGTATTTGTAATATAATGTCATTAAACTATCTTGTCTATGACGAGACTTAAAAAAAAAGAAATCTAGACTATCTTTTCACATAGATTTTAATCGATATTTTGAAGTCTAGGTTACCTGTATCGATTCTATAACTATACTTTATTTCCTCACGAGATACGACAGTTCGGTAAGAAGCTTCGAAGAATTTAATCAGACCATCAGTATATCGTTGATATTAAGTGTCAAAACGTTTGAGGATCGGTGTGGGTGTAAGATGACGACCACATCCTCATCCACCCTTTTTTCGTTAATATTTCTTTTTATGAAATTTAATATAATTATTGTTATTGGGTGACAGTTTAGTGAACTACGTTTCGTACCCCTCTTTTTGAACATCGAACTGCATGTCCGGGTGTTCGTAAATGAACTTTGTTTTTTTAAAAATTTATGACGAAAATTCGGAAATATTTTTACCGAAGATTGTTAAAGAAAAAGCAAGGGATGTAGGTAAGGGTGAGATGATCACAGTAGTTTCGCTCACTTCTACACCCACACACAAACCCATTCTTCCGAATATTTTCTTTTTTTTTCTTTTACCTGGAGGTCGTAACAGACTACTGCTACTGGAGTTTGGAATGACGGGATGGTACGAAACGTAGTTTTGCCTGACATTTACTTCTAACAGATCTGAAGAGTAGTTCTCTAATCTACCAGAAATATGTATTCGAGTTGGTGTAAATTCAGTAGACTACTTTCGTCTATCTGATTGATAATCTATTTGAGAATACGAATCACATCTAAATTCATGTTTAATATATTTATTTAATAAAATACTGAATAGCAAATAAATGTCATACACTTTTTTTGCTTCAGTATAACATGCTTTCAATAGCAAAAGAAAAGTAGAGATAATATATGATACACTTATGAACTATCCCTTTTCTAGTCTGAACGCTGAGTTCTATATTACTTAAAGATAACTAAGAATTATCAGAAAACTAAAGTTATTAATACTATTTCCTATAGATGATGAAAAGAATGAAAAAACGCATCCATCACTTGATGATTCATTAACTACAGTAAATAAAATTATTGATTTAAGATTGTTATCAAAATGAGTAATAAATATTAACTAATAAAAAATACAATTCTACTTTATATTTTTTTATGTTTACAGTACAAGGATACAGCAAACAGGTAGAAGTAATTTTCATTAATGATACAGTTTCGTAACTTAATATTTATTCAAAATATGTATCTGCATTGGCGAATTCGAAAAAGAAACATTGCGACGATTTTCAATTGATATTTTCTAATTTATCATTCTATAATTATTTTTATTTGGCTAATGTGATTCATATAAAGATACAAAAGAAAA